GGGAAAGAACTTTTATTTGCAGATTCCAGGAAGGTAGATTACAAACAGCAGCAAATCTCAGAGTCTCTTAATAACACTCCAGGCCACTTGAAATATAAAAAGGTAACTGTTTTACTTTAGAAAATATCTCTGAAAGTTCACAATTTTTTAAAACTACTGCAGGACATTAACTAAAGTGCAAATCCTGCAGAATCTGGGTAGGAGAAAAAAGCCTTACCAATATGAAAATACTTTTTATGAAATGGTTTCAAGGATTGTGAACCTGGCAGATGAAATATAACAAGCATTGAAAATACTTTTAGCAAAGGAAATCTGTTGATGCAAATTAAACATATATACAAGCCCAAAGACCGTGTAGAAAAATCCTAACAGTATAACAAATGTGCATTCTACTACTTGCATTATTGAAAGCGAAATAGCTGTAATATGTATACTTTACTGAGTAGCAGAAGCTTGTCAAATACTCATAGAAAAGCAGCTTTTGAAACTTAGTATAAGAATGCATGTTTTTCCAAAAATTACTTTTGAAACACTAAAGCTCTGCAGTTGATAAAACCATAAAATGTCTATGTATTTATATGGTGATAGAAACTGCAAAAGGCTTTATACTATTAAATACATATATGAAATTAACATATTCCTGGCCTGAGGATTCCCACAAAATTTACCTTTTTTGTACAATTTGGCAATGCCAACATCTACAGAAAATATGTTAACCAACCAACCACTGTTTCATTAGAAACCGCACCAAATCCAATGTCAAAAACATTACTTTATTTTTCTAGGATGAAATGTCCTATTACGTACAAAAAGAACTGCTGTTTAAATTTGCCACAATCTCTTAAAAACATAGCAATCTATTGTCTACAGGTAGGAAAGTTCTTGCTGCAACAAGTTTTAAATGATTAAGCCCATCTATATCTATATATATATATGAATAAATAGTACAGAAATACTGTGACATGATGAGATGCAGAATAATTTTATAATTCATTAAAATGTAGGATTCTTGCATCAGCACAGTGCATACAAATATGTAACATTTTTTAAAAGTTAAAGGACAAAATAACCTATATTTAACTACTTCCATGTTAGTATTTTAAGCAAAAACTGTTTCCATGTTTTCAATATTGAGCAATTAGTCTCTTTAGTTTGTAAGCATAAGTTTAAGTGATATTTTTATGTACAAAAAGGAATGGGCTTCATTAGATAAAATTAACCCAGAATAACTTGTACACCTGAGCCTGTAAGAAGAAAGAACTGGGAACTGTTAGCAACGTCTTTCTTTTAAGAAACTAAGGTCCGGGAAAGGTTTTGCATAGCAGGGTGATATTAAACAGAAAGAAACTTTTAAAAAACAATAATTGGATAAATTCCAGAACTTGGTAGGACAAAGCTAATACGAATTAGTGCAAAATCTAGTAAAATTTTTGCAAAGCTGCATAAACCAACTATGGCAGATCTCACGGAAGCTATTATTACAATGAAGAAATACATGTAAGATTAGAACACTGAAAGGAAAAACATGCAAAATATACACCTTCCTCTGCTGCTTCCATTTTTTTCCCCTACCGCTTACACTTCTTATGTGGGAAAAACCCCCAAAAAACTCAACCAACAAACAAATACAAAAAGGATGAAGTCATTTTCAAAAATGCCCTTCATAAAATATAAGCAGTGGCCTGTAACTGATAATTTGCCTGGTATCATATAACATACAGATGAAGGCGATGTGTATTTTGTCACATTACCTTTTTTATTAGTCTGATCAATTGATGCAACAGGATTAGCACCCCTGAATATTTTTCTTCGATATGATGACAGTGGGCTGGGAATTATAAAATGAAGGACCACTACTGCCCTGGAGAAATCCAGGTACAATCAGATCCTTCTGCCTTTTATTTATTTACCTTGCAGCCCTCCCTTTCCCCTCAATGGCTTACAGAGAATCATTAGCGCACATTCAAAGACACTGTCTGTGGGAGAAAAATTATCTCCATTTATTTTGTTTCATATACATCCATAATTGAATTTTAATACAAAAAGAAAAAAAATTAGAATCTGACAAATGTTTACAAACAAGATACCTTCAAATAGATTTTACTCATTTTAACCTGGTGCAGAGTAAATGACAAATTGTACTGTTATATTCAAGGCAACAGAGTCTGTAGTCCAGGACCACTAGCCCAACCTTTATGCAAGCTTAATTTTTATCTACTATGAACAATAAACTCATTGTTGATTCCCAGTTGTGTGTGTGTGCACATGTGTACATAGCAGCTCCTTTCATAGAAAGAAAAGACATCTAGAGGTCGTCTTGTACTTTTACCTACAGGAATCATGATAAGATACAGAATGGATTACATGTAACCGGGCTGGATTTTATAAGAAAAAATAATTAGCTGACAAATGAGGGCAGCAATAAAAAAGCGTCTTTTTTGCAACAATAAATAAATACAGTCGAAAGTTTTCTGTGAGACTCTAAACCAGCTTCTTCACTGAAGAGCAGACGTGGCATTTCCATGGAGTTACACTTGACCCCATATTATCTTTTTTTCTTTCTTTCTTTTTTTTTTTCTTCAATAAACAAAGTTTTCCCGCTTCTGCCACAATAGTAAAACCATTTGATCTTGACAAGATAATGGTGTCGTTGACTTTGCTTTTCCCTTGTCCGTTGGACAAAATTGGCCAAGAATATAATTGGACTGCTATGACCAATAAAAACGAAGTTTAGGTCAAGTCTTGTCAGGATAACCTGACTAAAAACATCTGGCTCCTTAATTTAAAACAGTTCAACCAGATTCTTGCTGTGTTTTATGTTAGGTTAACACGCTGAACTTTAAGAAGCTGTAGACTGCAGTTTGTTGTTATGAGACCTACAGAATACAGAAAAAAGGGAACAATTAAGCACCCTTCATTTTTGAAAACAGTGATGCTTTATGTGGATGCCAAGGTCAGTCTGTCTGGGGAAAGCAGCCATGTTCTTTCATTCACCCTTGGCAAGCAAATATATGAGAACAAGTAAGAAATTTTTACCCTATAAAATTAAAAATTTTCATTGTACACTAAACATGATAATTCATTGGAAAAAGCCAATATTAAAAAAAAGAAATATAAATATATATACATATATATATGTCCAATACAACATTTTTAGCCAAAGGAACAAACAGAGACATTTACAGAAGCATTACCATTGTGGCAAAAGGTGTGTGTGTGTGTGTGTGTGTGTGTGTGTGTGTGTGTGTGTGTGTGTGTGTGTGTGTGTGTGTGTGTGTGTGTGTGTGCGCGCGCATATTTGTGTGTGTGTGTGTGTGTACGCGCACATTTATTTACATTGAGTTGGGGAATATGAAGGAAAAAAATATTAAAAGGAGAGAAATAACAGTATTAAAATCACATTTTTCTATTAAATTTCAGAAAGTGTCCTTTCTAGTTTCACAGTTTTATTAACAACTTTTGTTAGCAAACCAAGTTACTGTACAGTTATCAAGTATGTTCTATTGCAATCGTGTATATAAATACAGTCTTCTCGGAGTTTACAATTCTTAAATACATCGTTCAACATGGCTGCTAGAATAAATTGTTTACTACTATACATCTTTTTTTAAACATTAAAAAATTATATTAACTCATCTGAACTCTGGGGGGCAATTTTGAATTAGGTAATCAAGTGGTACAATAAAAGAGTGACCCCAACATCCAGTTCTGATTCCAGTTAAAAATTCAGACTAAAGATATCACAATCTGTAAGAAAAGAAAGAACATGGATGATATAAATGATGAATTATAACAAAGAACAGTTATGAAAATAATGCTGGAGATCACAAATTAAAAATGGGGAAAATACGGCAAAGGAAACCCTGGAAATCCATAAAAAATAATATTTCAGTGACTGGCTACATATATGTTTCATTCTGCCCTAAATCTGGAAATCAACAAAAAATCCCCTAACATCTCTTCACATATTTTATTTACATAAGCAGACTTGAGCAAACTTCTCAGTTGGCTCCCATGTTCTTTAATAAAAATTACATAAACCAGAATATAATAAAAAGCTACATGAAACCACCAAATGGCAAGCTCTCCCGAGCGGGCCCTTCACCATGCAGACCCAGCCTCTGGGCCTCCTCTCCTTCCCCCAGTCCCTTGGTTTTGCAGCAGGCCCACCTCAGCAGCTGCTGCCACCATCCCCCTCTGCGTCCTGCCTGCAAGCCTGGCAGCAGGGTGGGATCCAAATCCCCCAGCTTCCACTTCCACCAAAGGCTAAAAAGCCTTTTCAGCTGAAAAAAGCAGTTCTAGAAATTTAACTGGAGTAATGACTACAAGAGGTACGAAGCAAGAAGCAAAAGAGCACGGAGGGTTTGTAATAAACTGTGGTCCTCTGTCCTATCTTCACTCACCCTGAAAACCAGGCTCTCTAGGATGAATTACCTGGAACTTTCAGTTCTTAGGTAGTTAGATTTCTTACACTGCTATTTCTTATTTTATCAACTTTATATTGTTTAAATCCTGCTACGGCAAACGAGAACTGAGCTCATGGAACCATTTTCCCTCCTCCCTGCTTGAGTACAAGTTCCATTTCTCTGTAATTTAAAATTAAATCTTTCCATGCTTTGTCTGTAGACATTCCAAAAGTTGAAAATCAATGTACTGTTTACATGACTATGTAAATATTTTTCTCTGTAGCACCTAATCTTTTGCTAGGAGGGCATTCTTAGTAACCTATACAACTTTTTGCCTTTCATGGAGTTTCTAATTGACTTTCATTCCCCCCTTACATTCTTAAGTTATCTAATGCATGAATCAATTTTTTCCCTCCAGACGCATCCCTCTTTGGGAGTGCTCCATTCTCCTGCTCCAATTTGAACTGCCTGCTGCATGGGCCTGCTGTACAAATGTCACTCTGGGTCAGAGTCGTTCTCTTTGCTTTCTTGAAATTCAAGGTCTTTTGTTTTCTTGACTTGCTTCTTTATTTTGCTAGTGCACATCTTAAAATAACTTGCTAAGAACATATGCAAGGAAAAAGGAAGCCCTTTCTGATCCTTATATGACTTGAAAATGTACTTACTCTGCCTCTACGCTTGACTGGCTAGACACAGACTTCATTTTTCCTCAAACTTTTGGGTTTATTCTTCCATAATCCTCTAGCATTCCATGTTGCTACAGAAAAGTCTGATACCAGTCTAATTCCTGTTAATTTATAAGTTGTTTTATCCTCTTTACAAGCTTTCAGAAGAGCTTCTTCCATCCTTAGCCTCTGGAGATTTTACAGTGATGTATATTTGCGGTGGACCTTTTCCCGCTTGTCCAGCTGGCTTAGACGTTTGTTTATCCACTCCACTCCACTCCACTCCACAACCCCGGCCCCAGTCCATCTCCCTGTCCCACAGGAACATGAGCTCCGTGGAGAGCGGGAACTTGGTTTGATCTGCTGCTATAGTCAATTCTGACACACAGCCGGGGCTCAATAACCATTTTTTGAATGAATAGTTTTGCTTGGATTTGAAGTTGTGTGCCTCTCACTGGTTTGGAAATTTTTCTTATATTAAAGTAGTCTTTTGATAATTTCCTCTCCTCTGTCTTCTCTGTTCTTTTTTTCTGGAATTTCCATGAATAACATTTTTTTCTTTCCTATTTTTCATCCCCTTGTCGTTTTGCTCTTTACACTGAGAGTTCCTTGATTTTAACTTTCAATGTGTGCAATAAGTTTAAAAAAATTTCCAGTTACTCTCTTTTTCTCAGATTGTTCTTTATTTCTAATATCCTGTTCACTATTTTGCAGATGCAGCATCTTCTAAAATTTCTCTCGGGACATGACTTAGAGGCTTGTTTTTTTTTTTTTTTTTTTTTTTTTTTTTTTTTTTTTTTTTTTTTTTGCAGTACGCGGGCCTCTCACTGTTGTGGCCTCTCCCGTTAGCGGAGCACAGGCTCCGGACGCGCAGGCTCAGTGGCCATGGCTCACGGGCCCAGCCGCTCCGCGGCATGTGGGAACTTCCCGAAACGGGGCACGAACCCGCGTCTCCTGCATCGGCAGGCGGACTCTCAAGCACTGCGCCACCAGGGAAGCCCGCTTGTTTTGTTTTTTTAAAGCTCTCTCTTGTTCTCTCTGGAATCTATTTTTCGGTTACACCTTGACCTTTTTCTCCTTTACACCTCAGGCTTTCCTTTACACCGTAGGCTTTCCTTACCTATCCGTCCGTCCCTGTCTGTTCCCACTTACGAAGAGTAAGTTAACAGCCTAGATGGGTGCCTGGAGAACCCTGTGCATGTGTGTGTGGCTTACTGACTGGCAGGCTTTGCTTTAGATCAGAGTTTTCAGTCTCAACACAACTGACACTTTGGAGTTGGATAATTCTTTGCTTTAAGGCTATCCTACGCAGTGTGGGATGTTTAGCACCATCTCTGGCCTCTACTGATTAGATGCCAGTACCACTAACCACCTCCAAGTGGGACAAACAGCAATGTCTCTAGGCATCGCTAAACATCCCTTACGGGGTGGGGGTGAGTAAATTATCCTGTTGAGAGACCCAGCGTTAGAATGAGGGAGCCAGTCCTTCAGAGATCAGGGGATTTTCCTCTGGGTCCCATTCTCTTCTGTCTACTCTAGTTCTCTGCAGACGGTTTAATTCTCCTTCTTTGGAGAACCCTGTGTTCTTCCAGTTCTTTGGGCATCCTACGCAGGCTGCACACTGGGGTTAAAGGAGGGTGTGACTAGCCCAGATTTAGATCTTCAGTTAACCCCTCTCTCCTCCTACTCTCTAGAGCCTTTGATTCTATTTCAGAGTCTCCGTGCTGGAGGCTGTCTGGGGTCCTACTGGTCGGCAGGCTGTCACGTCTGCTGAGGAGCCCGCGAGGAGTCGTCTGGCTGCGCGTGCCCGCCTTCACCGGTCAGCCGCCTTCCATCTGCTGTCCCTCACAATCTGCTGAAATCTCACCAGCTAACTAACTTCCACCATATTCCTTTCACCACTCTGAGTTTACCCCTCTTTATTCCTTTATTGTTATTTTCCTGGGGACTCCGTCATATTAAGTAAGTCCACTTCCATTTTAAGTTTTACAGCTAACGTGTTAACAGATAGGCAACCATAAAAATGGGAAAGTTTTAGAGATTCTGTGAAGTCTCTTGGTTGGTGGTCTATACAGCCTGCCTGCCCACCTGCTTTCCTTCCCTCTTGCCTATAGTGTTTGACTCTTTCGCTGAGAAGGTGACTGGACACTTCAGTTGTGCCTGTCCTTCACTTGTAGTTTACGCAAACTGACTCTGAAGTATAGCTCTTCATCTACCTTGTTACGGCAGAAGGAGAGAAAATACCCTGAAGATTTTCCTCCGAGAAAAATGACAAGGTAGAGCACTGATTCTTCTGCTTTGGTATGCAGAGTCCCGTGGGAGTTCATTAGGTAATACAGATGCCCAGACCCCAGCCCAGCCAAGATCTACCCAATCTGACTAGGGAGGATCAAGCTTGCGGGCTGGTGGATGGGGGATGGTGAACAATGAATCTCAGGGCTACAGAGCGGTGGCAGCTCTCAAAGAAAAGGGAAACAGGTTTCCGTTGAAAGGAAGAAAGTCATGGGCTTGGGAAGGAGCACGTGCGGAAGGTCAGAAACAGAAGGCGCGAAGGTCACGGTACCTGAATAGCATGCAAAGCTGCTCAATGTTTTTATGCTACGAGAGGTTCAAAGAAAAGGTCTGTGGACTTGGATTAAAGTTTAGTTTTGTCCACAGAAAAAATCCATTAGAATAAAACAATTTATGATTTCAAAGATACAGCAAATGCAAATGAAAGAGAAAGCGCTTAAATCCCCACTTGGTGGTCTTCCCCTTACTCTACCCTACAGAACAGTCTTTTTTTTAAACATTATTTTGTTGAATTCTACCAGTCTTTGAGCATTTCGCCTACTATATGCTGTGTTGAGTATTAGTCTCATAGTTTTAAAAAACTATTTTTTTGGCCACGCGGCTTGCGGGATCTCAGTTGCCTGACCAGGGATCGAACCTCAGCCCCCTGCAGTGAAAGCGTGGAGTCCTAACCGCTGGACCGCCAGGGAAGTCCCAGAACAGTCATTTTTATACTCCTGTAAACTCAGTGAGAGCAAGAACTCTTACTACTACTATCTTTGTATGTGCCCCATGGCATTTAAGACAGCATCTTACATTCTGTAAGCATCTGATAAATGCTTTTTGAATTTTAAAAAGTGACTATAATTTTAAGCAGATCATAAACAAACCCGGCAATTTCTCGTTAGGAGCTGAATTAGTTCAGAGCGCTGAACACATCTGCTTACCTGCTAGCCTTGAATCCTTTCAATTTCTGTACAAAGAATGATTCAAGAACTTCTGCACACTGGTAAAAAGGAGAATCACTTGGATTGTAGTAACGACAATTATCAAAAATTTTGGTCATATCTGCTACAAATTCCGTCAGCTTTTCATAATATCTTCTTTGTACTCTTTCTTCCATGGTGGCAAGGTCTTAAAAACAAAATGTAAAAGATTTTCAAAGCTTTAAGGTTGTTCCAGTGTGAATACTGCCTGCAGTTCTGACAAATAAGAATACAAAACATCTTGCCCAAGCAGTCCTGGAACCAGGCTGGTTTACCAGTGAAGACTACGTAGCAATTCTTGAAGAAAATAGAAGCACTTTTCCAATTTTGTTTTTGATTTGGGGTCTAAAAGAGAAATCTTGGCTACCGTTAAGAAGGGTCTTTTACTTTCAATTAACTACAGAGAATAGCTCTTTATTCAATTGGTTTGAAACAAAGCAAACACTACACCAACATGAACAATACATATCTAAGTATAACACATTTCACATGCAAACAACTGATTAAGTACCTTACATGTACAAAGAGAAGAAGTCCAGAATTAAGAATAAAATCTCTGTGGTTTTGTGATCCTTGTATTAGACTTTAATAATATAATTTTGTTTCCTTTTAAATTTTTATTGTTACCTTTTATTGGTGACAAGTGATACTGACTTACCGATTATGTTGTTAATGATATAAAGTGTCTACTTAAAATAAACTTAAGGGAAAAATATTAGCTGATATGAACAAAAATAGCAGTATGTAATAGTAGAGGTAGTATGGAGAAATGAAAAAAATTACTAGGGTGGTACACAGGTAACTGCTGTGGGATACTGAGCTAAATCCATGCAAAATGACAGTGGGTCCCAGGAGACAGTTGTGCTTGAAGGAAAATTCCATATACGATATGACATAAAAACCTGGGAGAGTAAAAGGTCAGTGATCTCAAATCAATCTAGGATTGATAGATAACACAATTCCTAACTAAATCTCAATAATTATTTGAGAAAATAATTTTAAAGTACATTCAAAAAATATAAGTGTAGGAATATCTAAAAAACATTTGAAAAATAAAAGTAAAGGGAGAAAATTTAATCTATGAGACATTAAGAAAAATTATAGGGGCTTCCCTGGTGGCGCAGTGGTTAAGAATCCGCCTGCCAGTGCAGGGGACATGGGTTCAAGCCCTGGTCCGGGAAGATCCCACAGACTGTGGAGCAACGAAGCCCATGTGCCACAACTACTGAGCCTGCGTGCCTAGAGCCCACGCTCTGCAACAAGAGAGGCCACCGCAATGAGAAGCCCGCGCACCACAATGAAGACCCAATGCAACCAAAAATAAATAAATAAAATAAATAAATTTATCTAAAAAATTTATAAAGCTGTGATAACAAAATGTGTGGCATTGCACAACATTGATACAAACATTAATGGAACTGAATTCAAAACAGAAACAGACCTAACTGTATTCAGCATAAGAATTTCACCTATGTTGAGGATGTCATTTCAAATAAGCAGAGTCAGGAAGAATTCATTAATAAATTGGGTTGAGGCAACTGCCTACCTATATCTGAAGAAAAATTCTACCTCACACTATATGCCAAAGTAATCCGAGGTGGATTAAAATTTAAGGACAAAAATGAATGTAGTTAATCACTGAATTGTGCATATAAAAGTAGTTAAAATGGCAATTTTATGTTATACATATTTTAACACACAAACACGTCTTTGATAGTTCCAGTTTACACAGGTAGGGGAAAAACGTGTAAACAAGAACAACTGCAAAAATGCACCCAGCCTGATTAAATTCCGAACAAGACTTGGGTGCATCCATTCCGTGCAGGTCACATAAGCTGTACAGGTAGGCAGAAAGCTTAACACAGCCTGCCAGAATATCACCATATTGAGACTTAAGTTCTGGGCACTTCCTGACTAACTGTAATAAAGTACGTGAGTAGTGTTTGGACATTTTATGATTTCAACTTAATTAGTATCCCTTAAAAAAAAAAAAGGACTAGGAGAACATACAGGTAAGTATTTATATAACTGGGGTAGGGAAAAAGGCTAAAAATACAACTCTAAAGGTAGAATTCATAATGATTAATAGATTTGAATTAAAAAAATGTTAAAAACTATCATATGACCAAAAAATTGACATATAACATTAAAATATCCTTAGTTTATAAATAAACCTTAAGTAACACTGACAACAGTATGAATATATCAAGAGCAAAATGGCAAAATACATAAATAGGGAACTCATGCAGAAGTACAAACAGTAATAAGCACATCACTAGTTACTGAAGACAGGCAAAGCCAAAGAGTCACTTCCTTTGCCCAAATTAGCAGAAATTAAAAATTATATAACATCAGCCTATTAACAAAGGCTACCTCTAAAGGTGGATGAAAGTGGTGGTAAATTTTACATTTTACTCCCTATATCTCTGTAACATCTGCATTTGTAGATCAAACATATTCTTTCGAAATAAGTATTTACAAAGAAAACTCTTTCTCCTTGAAAGAGTGATAATGCTCAGGGTTTTCAAGTGTGCAGAGAAAAGGGTACAGATATATGCTATCAGTGGAAACTGGTTCAATCTGCTGAAGTGCAATTTGAAAATACTTACCAAAAGCCTAAAAAGTATACATACGCTTTGGCACAGAAATTCTATTTCTAGAAGTTTTTCTTAAGAAAACAAACAAGAACAGGGCAGATGCACAAGGATGTTCACAGAAGTGTCATTTATAGCAGCAAAAACTGCAGACAGCCAAAAAATCCATTATGGAGGGGTGATTAAATAAATTACCTTAACGTCATACAATTAAAATCGATGTAGGGGGACGTCCCTGGTGGTGCAGTGGTTAAGAATCTGCCTGCCAATGCAGGGGACAGGGGTTCGAGCCCTGGTCCGGAAGACCCCACATGCCACTGAGCAACTACGCCCGTGTGCCACAACTACTGAGACTGTGTTCTAGAGCCCATGAGCCACAACTACTGAGCCCCCATGCCACAACTATTGAAGCCCACGCGCCGAAAGCCTGTGCTCCACAACGAGATGCCACCGCAATGAGAAGCCTGCACACCACAACAAAGAGTAGCCCTGCTCACCACAACTAGAGAAAGCCCACGCACAGCAATGAAGACCCAACGCAGCCAAAAGTAAAATAAATAAATTTATAATCAATCAATCAATCAATCACGTTAGTATCTTTCCAGACATTTGCTATGCATCTCTAAACACATGTACGTACCCTTAGAAAACATACAACTGTTTACTGCTTAAAACCCAGGGATTGCTCTGTAACTTTCCTATTTCTTTCAACAATATGCTTGGGAGACCTGTATTATCTGTATGTACATACCCACATAAAATGCTGTTTATCTTGGTGGTATTAAAAAAAGAAAAGAAATGGGCCTCCCTGGTGGCGCAGTGGTTGAGAGTCCGCCTGCCGATGCAGGGGATGCGGGTTCGTGCCCCGGTCCGGGAGGATCCCACGTGCCGCGGAGCGGCTGGGCCCGTGGGCCATGGGCGCTGAGCTTGCGCATCCGGCAACGGGAAAGGCCACGACAGTGAGAGGCCCACAAATCGCAAAAAAAAAAAAAAAAAAAAGAAAAGAAAAAGACAGGAAAACATTCTAGCTCTTCAAGAAAAGAATTTTGGCTAAATAAGTTAAGGCATATTCAATTTACAGACTATACAAAGCCATTAATATCATGTTATTGAAGATTAATGACACAGGAAAATGACTGCCAGACACAAACATTTACTACATGATCTCAATATTTTTTTTTAAAATATGTTTTCAATTTTTACACACACACACACACACACACACACGAACACACCAAAATGTGATAGCATTCAGTGAGAAAAAGTGCATTTATCTTACTTTTTTTATTTCTTAAATTTTCTATAATCAAGTTATTTTTAGAAGCAAAAGACATCTATTTATTTAAATAAACACCCCAGGTACTTTCTCAAAGGAGATTATTCAAATCTGAAATGTGTACAATGATTAATTTCTTCTATCTTAGACATGAGGAGGATAGAGGTAACGGCTACTTACGTATTTATAGTTTTTCTTCCCAAAGATAAGCCCTCATTTATCTCTTCTTCATGTTTCCGCATCTTTGAAGTTGCCGTCAATACAACCCCTGTCTTTTTTTTTTTTCTTAAAAACCTGGTTGAACTTTAATTCCTTTAATTTTTTCCTTTTATTTTTAAACTGAGGTATAACTGACATAGAACATTGTGGTACCTTTATGTATACAATGCGATGATTTTTTTTTTTTAATTTATATATTTTTGGCTGTGTTGGGTCTTCGTTGTTGTGCGGGCTTTCTCTAGTTGCAGTGAGTGGGGGCTACTCTTCGTTGCGGTACACGGGCTTATTGCGGTGGCTCCTCTTGTTGCGGAGCACAGGCTCTAGGCACACGGGTTTCAGTAGTTGCAGCACGCAGGCTCAATAGTTGTGGCACACGGGCTTACTTACTCCGCGGCATGTGGGATCTTCCCGGACCAGGGATCGAACCCGTGTCCCCTGCATTGGCAGGCGGATTCTTAACCACTGCGCCACCAGGGAAAGTCCCAATGGGATGACGTGATGTTTGTATATATTGAGAAATGATCACCACAATACTTTTATTTAACATCCGTCACTGCATATAGTTACAAACTTTTTTTTTGGTGATGAGAACTTTTAAGATCCACTCTCCTGGCAACTTTCAAATATACAATAAAACCATACCCATTTAAAAAATGCTTAGCTGGCCGTTTGGAATGTTTTCATCAGCTAGAGCTAGTTTTTGGACAGTTTTGGGAGCTTTTAGCTATGTTTTAATTTCTATAACTTCTTTCGTAGATAAAGTGTTTTTAATATAATCACCGGTAGCTGTTCATCTTAATACAGTAAATCCCCTACATATGAATGAGTTCTGTTCCGAGAGCACGTTCGTAAGTCTGACAAAGTTAGCCCAGGTACCCAACTAACACAATCAGCTATATAGTACTGTACTGTAATAGGTTTGTAATACTTTTCACACAAATAATACATAGAAAACATTTTTAATCTTATAGTACAGTATAGTACTGTATACCTGAAAAGTATACAGTAGTACCAGCCACATCACCGATGCTTTTACGCTTGCTTCCAGACATCCTGGGCTTGAAATAAAGATACTGTACTACTGTACTCTATACAGTACTGTACAGTAAAGTACACAAAAGCACAACCACTTGTAGAGGATGCACACATGTGACAATGTACACCAGACACGTGAACTAACTTACATGACTGGACATGCGAATGCACGTTCGCATCTTTGAAAGTTCGCAACTTGAAGGTTTGTTGTGTAGGGGACTTAATGTACAGTTACTTGTAGCTGCTATTTAGTACCACTTTTATTTTCTGGGCAATGAGGCTATATTCTCTTGGATTTCTACCTTTGCTCTCCTTCAGGAAAAGATGAAGAAGAGGTGACAGGAAAGAGGAGAGGCTCACAAGGACCCCAATCCGTTCACTGATTTCACTCATTATACAGTAGAGAATACTCTGCTCATCCTTTGATTTAGCTACTCCTCTACTGATGTCTATTTATTTCATTTTCAGTATTTCTGCAATTATGAACACTACTGTGATGAACAACATACCTGTGCACATGTAAATCCTAAGAGATGAAACTGCTGGGTCCAAAGGTACACACACTTGAACTTTAATACGTGCTCCCAGTTTATCCTACAAATGACCGTATACCAGTTTGGACTCTCACCAGTTTTGCTCAGCATATCTTCATGATATATAAATTTTTTGGAAGATAAATGAAGTAGCTGCTGAGATTTCTGAAAAAACTCCATGTTCAACTCAAGCACTTACCCATAGGTTCCTTAATAACACCGTAATAATCTGGCGCATCATTAGGATCCACTGGTTCAAGGAAAGGCCAGGCCATCTTATGGGCCTATAATGAAAAAAAAAAAAAGGCATCATTATTGTCAGGTTATTGTCAGGTGGAAATGACAATTTCACTTAAGTTTCCCATTTGAGTTCTTGCATCCATCGACCTTTAAACTGGAAGAGTCAGTTTTAAACTTGAGAGATGAAATTATTTATACTTAGATGATTTTTGCTGTAGTCACAAATTATCTCAGACGAGCATGCTCTGTAATAATGGTTCTCAAAGAGAGGTCTGGAACCTTGGCCTGGAGCGGGGATGGTGGAGCACTAGCTTAGGGGTCAAGGAATCTGTACTCTGGTCCCTTCACGATGACCTGCCAACTGAGCGATGTTGGCACTGCAATCACACCAATTAAACTGGAGTGGGATGGGTTCCAAGTGTGGAATGGTTACCTCTGCAGGATAATGATGTGGCAGAGGTGTGATGGTGATGTTAAATAACATTCAATCACATATTGAGACTATTGTTCTCGTTTCAGTTCTTTCAATGCTTCTAATTATGATTACAACAGGAGGAAGTGTCAATCTAGCACTCCTATGCCTGGAATACATCTCTAATGCTTGCTAATCTTAGAAGCCACCCCCACCTTCCTTCTTGTTTTTAATAAGGGAGGGAAGGCTTTGGCTCAGAGCCTTAGATAAGCATTTGTATCTCGCTAGAATTTAATCAAATTGCTTTTCCATCAATGGTGGTAAGATAGTTTTCTTTAAAAATAAAATTTAGGTTAAAAATAATGAGTCATTTTAAACACGAGCATTAGCTAAACAACAACAATCGGCATGGGAAGGACTGAAGCCTGTGGAGCACTTCAGCTGCGAGTCACTAAATAGTCAGGTGCTCTAAGATTGAAAAGGTCAAACCCCAGGCGTGTTTCCCAGGTCATGCTGATTGATTTCATCTTTAAATGCTGCACAGAGAGTGGTTTCTCACCTGTAAAGAACGCAGCACCCTCTTCAAACCCTCATAATCTTTCTCTGTTAGCGGCGTGAGCACTGTCATGGCATCCTCTGTTGACTGGCACTGTGGACAGACATACTCGTCAATGAGTTCTGCCTCACTTTGCAAGATGCCAACGCAGCGCCCATGGTACCAATTCTGACACCGATCACAGCCAATATAAAATCTGCAAGATCCGAAATGGAAATGTGAATTCAAAACAGATGGGATCACATTACTTATAATTTACTTTAAAAAGTAATAAAACATGCATTGAACATATTCTAACCCTGGGATATAAAATAGTTTTAGTATTATAATTGTTTTAATACTTTTGAAGATTGACATTCCAATGAGTTACTTTAGTACTTCTGATGTTAAGAACAAGCATTAAAGGTTTAAGAACACTGTCAAAATTGGAGAACCAATATGAAGAAAAATGTAAAACATTTAATTGACTTCAAAGCTCAAAACAAAATAAAGACAAAAATCTTTCAACTAATACCATATCAAATGGGAAGCTGATATTGGCCACCCAACTGGGAGTTCAAAATCCTAAAAGCTGTTTAACAGAGTCTCGGAGCTTGTACCCAAATTAGTGTTTTTCTAACCTGCAATAAAGCACCATTTCAAAACACTGATAAAGTCCAAACAAGTCAGGCTATTTTAATCTCATTAATTTCTATGTTACATATTGAAGAATCAAGTCTACCATTAAACCACATTTTTCCCAATGCATCTCAAACATTCACTATGAAGCAACATAAATTTTGAAGGGGAGGTAAAGAGGGAAGAAGAGAAAAAAAATTGGAAAAGAATTTGTAATGTAAGTGTATAATATATGCAGAAAAATACCTTGCTTTTTATTTTAAAACAAATAAGTAACCAGTCAGAGCAATTTGGCTTCCTAAATTATTAAATATGATGCTCTTATCAGAACTCACTGTGACTCATCATAAGGTGTTCTGCAGATACAGTACAATTCCTCACTGTTGCCCTCTTGTGCCCGTTTACAATCATTACAGATGTACACATCCATTTTCTTAGCCTCCTTTTCTGTGATGCCAACACATTCTCCATGATACCAGTTAGTACAAAGATCACAGCCAATATAGAACCTAAAAGCATTCACAATGAAAATGACAATGTAATTGTCATTTTGAGCTGCATGGTACGTAAGTCTGTCTTCCCTGTCCTGATTCACGTTCTTACAGGATTAACTTTCTGCAATGAGTCAGCTAAACATCCTGAATCCAACCATTCTAACCCTGACAAACTACAGCATCTGATGCTATATCAAGTGTGGGGACACAGAGTCGCTCACATCAATTTCAACAAATACACTGTTTAGTGAAATGTGGGTCTTTAAAAGCACACTGGAATTTGAAAAAATAAACAACACACTGATGGTAATGTCTCCCTCTTAATGAATGTGTGTAAAACTGTAACAGGCACAAAAACCAAAGCCAAAGAATCAAAGACTTACATCTGTCAAACCTATGCTACAGAAGCCATTTCAAAATCAGGGCTATTTCTTAGATAGGTTTGAAAATGTATCTCACGATTTAAATTTGAAAACAAAGCAAAGTGCAAACACCAAGTAGAAGTTACACTACAAGGAACATGCAGGAGGTCGGCCAGTTGTAGACGATAAATGGTCAAAACATGGTATGAAGAAGAAAACTAAAAAAAAGGTACATGTAGTAATTCAGTTTCTACCAAGCTTTCTAAGTACATACTGGAATTTAATTTTAACAGACTATGACATGGGCCAGTTTTTTCAGTTAGAAGCATGTGTGTGACGATGTGCAGCGGCCAGTTTAAATAGCTGGTGAGGAGCTACTTCAATTCAAAAACAGGGACACACGGTGTGGAGAGTGTTGTAAGGATAGTTAATCTAAAACCGCAAGAGGCTATACGAGATGGGGCCGTATGAGTGTGTAACTGTGGGTTATTAGTTAATTAATCCTCAAGTCTTTTGTAATGTAAGATCCCAAACGGTAAAGTGAAAAGCATCTCTATGACAAACACATAGCGTATCAAAGTGTTGACGAAAGCTCTGGAGGAACGCCTTGTCAAAGTCATGGCAAGAGTAAGCGTGAATTGCAGGGAACCAGACTGGCCTCGCTGATACCATTGGTTCCACCAAGGTGTTTCTTGGCAGATTTGCCTACAGGAATCGAAATAGTCCTCAAGCTTCCACCTAACCTGCTTTTGAACATAAAGGAATAATGGTTGTGTGGTGTATCCTACTGCCACTAACTTTTTTCTTTTGAATTATGACTCCCGCATGATTTTCACTGCCGCACGTGGAGGCCTTCAGGGCGTTTTGGTATATTGCCTTCACCAGGTGGTGGGCTGTGTGTTCTGGAAGTGAGCTCAGGACTTGAATTTCAGGGTTTAGTCACTCTCACTAGATTCCCAAAGGAGCCTACTTTGGAACAAGAGATCACTAAACACTCCTTAAAAACCACTAACTCTTGCCAACTAGAATAGGGAATGAATGAAGCCGGTATACTGAAATGTGAATAATGAAAAACTAAAAAATATGAAATATCCCCAAAATAATGAGGCAAACTCAATAGAATGAGCATATGTACACGTGTGCTGCATTTTATGCAATTTAGGTGTTAAAAAAAGTTGTGTGTGAAATGAATTTCTATGATCTGAATATTTTAAATAGGCCAAAATGTCTTGTTATTTAAGGAAATTCCATAAGCAGATCTTTTTGTAAAGAAAGAAAATCTTTTGTAAAGAAAGTAAATTTACAAAAATTGCATTGGACTTGTACTGGAATAAGGGGAAAATCAATCAATAGGGTTCTACTTTTTATATCATGTCTAATTTCTCATAAAGTAAGACAATGAAAAGTGAAGATGCCTACACTGATCTGTGTTTGATTCAACACACAGCTAAGTCTACCACAAAGTTTTGATTTAGCACTTGCAAACAGACTGTAATTTAAATAGCACCACTAAAGCAGCTTCAATGTTACAGCTTAAACATCATTAAACAATTTTATTTTATAAATCGATTAGGCATCCACTTACAGTAGACATTAAGCATTCCTAATTCTAAATGATCATACTTTTTTATCACAATCAAATAAACTTTTGGGTACTGTAAAATTAACACTGTGGTTAATTTTGGCTTTTAAAAGTTAGCCTGCATTTGAATGTTGAAAATGGAAGCTAAATACCTAGTTGAGTGATAATGATGATAGGAAAAAGAAAAGTGTAACCATGTTTATGGATTACTGTCTCTAAAATCTTGTATATATCACCAAATACAAGTTACAACTGTCAAAAGCAGCTTCCAGCTGCCATGCTTATCAAATTTTTTGAGTGTAGCACTTGAGGAATGAGTGAAAGAATCACTTTTTGTATTTTTCTGACTTTTGTCCCCAATAAGAAAGTGGGAACTTTGACAAAAATAATATTAGGTTATAATATTCTAATACAAAAACCATAGAGTTACTTAAAATTAAATGATAAAAATCCAAAACCACTCAAACTCAAAAGCCCCTTGGCACCATTCGTATGTAGGTCGTCTTTAGGACTGGATGTAACCGTGGGGTTGGGAAGATTCCAGAACAGATGATCTCAACTTTGGGCAGTGACAGTAATACACCTTTCTCCAGACAGCATTACTAACTGATCTGGAGTTGATCCAGAGAGAAGAGGAGACAGCCAAGGAGCAACAGAAAGCTTATCTGACAGAAAATATGATGAAGGACAAACACGAATCATGAACACGTGGAAAAAGAACCAAACTTTTATTCTAGTGTCAACGTTAAAAATATCAGCTGCAAAACCACAGATGAAATATTATTATCCTTATTTTTAACTGTTTTTATTTACATTGCTACTGATATACTCATTTTCTTCAAAACTGGAAACTGAGCTAAACTTTAAAGAAAACAGACTAGAGCTCAAAAAGATCTACTCACTTAGACTCGTCGTAAGGCGTTTTACAAATACAGTAAAGCTTTGTGTCCTTCTTTGTCTCCTTTGAGGTAGTAGAGATCATTTTCTTCTTCTTCGACTTGGAGCTTGAGTCTCTTTCCTCTTCTCGCTTCCTCTTCTGGGAAGCCACAGGCAGCGTGGCCGTGGCCGTGGCCGTGGCTAGGGGGCCCGAGTGCTGCGGCGGGGGCGGAGGTGGCGGGGAAGGCGGAGGGGCTGGAGGTGCCGGTGCTGCGGCGGGGGAGGTGGCAGCGACAGCTGTGGCCTGCATCATGTCTTTTTCCTTCTTAATTTTCAGGTCCCTCTTGAGCTCTTCCTGTTGTCAATCAAAGAATATAAGACCATCAACTGACTTATGTAACGTTCTGGCCAGAGGACGTTACATCACCTCCCTTGTCTGAGTAGCTCCACAGTTCACCCTAAAGTGGGGGAGTCTTGCTAACTCCAAGTAAGAGGGTTCTTACTACACCTTAAACCCAATTAAAACAACTAGAAATAGAAGACGAAGATTACACAACAACTAGAAAACTGCTAGCTCTCTTCAAAGGAGGTCTGACAGAAAGATGAGCAAGTGTGTAGAAAGAAGGGCCCCTCCCGCATGCCAGGGTCCTGCCCTGGTCATTGCAGTCATCACTCAGGACATGATTTCAAGTGTCCGCTGGCTGCTTTCTTCCGGCAAATCTCCTTGTGTCTCCTTAGAGTGAGTCTCGACATGAACTGGACATGATACTCCAGATGTGGCCTGACCAGCCCAGAGCAGAGTAAGACAGATGTGTCTTATTTACTGTGCTCCTATGGCTAGAATTTAAGACTGCAAGGAGAGCTATTTTCTCAATACAAATTTTGCATAAATGAAAATACTTTTTCCCATATGAGGCATTTTACAGACACACCTCTGCTACCTAGTGCTACAACTTATTCTTAGAAATGATGATGAAAGAACTTTTATTTCCCTTGGACTTCCCTGGTGGCACAGTGGTTAAGAATCCGCCTGCCAATGCAGGGCACACGGGTTCGAGCCCTGACCCAGGAAGATCCCACATGACGCGGAGCAACTAAGCCCATGTGCCACAACTACTGAGCCTGCGCTCTAGAGCCCGCGAGCTACAACTACTGAACCCCTTGCGCCTAGAGCCCGAGCTCTGCAACGAGAAGCCACAGCAATGAGAAGCCTGCACACCGCAACGAAGAGTAGCCCCTGCTTGCTGCAACTAGAGAAAGCCCACGTGCAGCAACCATGACCCAACACAGCCAAAAGTAAATAATAAATAAATTTTTAAAAAAAAAGAACTTTTATTTCCTTAGAGAAAAATCACTGTGATTGGCATTCACGAACAAGCTTGGTGTAACTAAACCAGAGCTATGACCAAGTTTTTAAAAATCAAAAAAATTCTAACAAATAAACCAGAATGATCCTGGTTTAATGAATCTCTTTCCTCTATCTGGAGTCTAAATAGTCCTATAACTGAGAAGATATGCTGTGTGACAATTCTACAGCCCTTCTCTATTTAAAAACAAAGTCTGAACTTTTTCCTAGGGAAGAAAGTAAATCTTGAGTTTCATTCTCCTAATAATATGATGTGCTTATAGCCTAAAGAGATGGATTTTAGGAAAATCAAGATCGTCAAGACAGTGTAGTAGGTACATACTTTGACATACCTCTTCAAGAACATTCCCATGGTAGTAAGATATAAAAAAGAGAAAACTGAAAAGACAGCCATGCTTGAATAAGATATAAATGTCTCTATGGAACGGAAACACAAAACCATGACCAGGGCTAAAACTGCAGGCCTCCTGGGCTCCAGATTCAGAACTGGGAAGTGCAGGCTCCCTGCTGGATGTTAAAGGCTGGCTGTGCTACACTAGGCTTCTGGAGGGAGGAAACAAAAACAAAACTCCTCTCACTTAAAATTCCAAATGCAAAATCAAATGAAAAACAATAAAAACATGTAATGTAAAAAAAAAAAAAAAAAAAAAAAAAAAAAAAAAAAAAAACAAAAACAAAACTCCTCTCACTTAAAATTCCAAATGCAAAATCAAATGAAAAACAATAAAAACATGTAATGTAAAAAAAAAAAAAAAAAAAAAAAAAAAGAAAAAGCAACCAACAAAAATCAATAACCGAATCTGAATTTACTCCAAGTGAATTTTTATGTTTTATAGAACAATCTGACAAAAAACTTTATAATATGTATGAAATATTCAAAGAGCTAAATGAAGGCATAAGTTCTATTAAAAATGAGTAAGAAATATTGAAAAGACAAGCAGAGGGGGACGGAGCAGGGAGTAAAAGGTAGAAGACAACCCATTTTTAGGACAGTGAAGCTATTCTGTATGATACTGTAATATGATTCTGTATTGTTATGTAACATGATTATATGACATCACTCATTTGTCAAATGCACAGAACTATACAACACAAAGAGTGAAACTTAATGTAAACTATGGACTTTAGTTAATAATAATGTATCAATACTGGCTTATGAATTGTACAAATATGCCACCCTAATGCAAGATGTTAATAATAGGAGAAACTGGGGTTGGGGGTAGTATACGAGAACTCTCTGCTTTCTACATAATTTTTATGTAAATTTAAAACTGCTCTTAAAAATGAAGTCTGTTTTCTAAAAAGGCAAGCATAAATGATATAAGAACAGGTAGATATAAAGGAGCAATCACATATGCTGAAAATAAAAAATAAAATCTTTATAATTAAAAATAATTTTTAAAATATGCTAGTACATATACGTTTGAATGTTGTTCCTCAAACTAAATCATCTTAGCAATAAATTCTATGGTTAAAATAATGCTGAACGTTTTCTTTAAGTATAATTTTTCTTCCTCATTGGATAAGCGATACATTGTCAGAAACAACACCACGACTGTATACTAGAATATTTGCAGTAGTTGTTAACATTTTTAAATGGCCGCATAGTATGTACAGTGCAGAAAAAGAAGAATGTTCAGTATATGTTGTCTCCAGCGTGATTCTGATTTTGTTTAAAATGTGTTTATATGTGAATACATTTATTAAAAGTAATATATGTAAGCTGTATCCTAAAATTATTTTAAAATGGTCATCTTTGGAGGGGGGATGATCAAAGATTACCGACCCTTATTTTTGTTTACTTGGACAATGGTCGCGATCTCAGTATTTATTTAGCAGTGACTACCTTACTGAACTCTCTCTTAGGTCTTAATAATTTTTCTTTGGGGTTTTGATATAATAATCATATCATATACAATAACAAATTTTATCTCCTTTCTTTCTTTGGCTTAACCTTAGCTAGAATTTCTAGAGATGCTAAGCAATAATGTTGATTCTGGGCACTACCGTCTGGTTTCTGACTTCAGTGGGAAGATCTCTAATGTCTCAGAGTTATGTACAGTGTTTGTCAGTAGGATGATCAGTGTTTTCTTAACATCTCTCACCTTCTTAAAATGTACAAGGCACTTCTAGGGATGCTTTATATAGCCCACTTCTCTTTTAAAAAACTGTTCAAATATGTATGAATAGATGTCTTCTTTCAATTTTCAACCAATTCTCTAAGTAAGCAGAGGATTAGCCATGGCTGCAGATCATTTACAAGTCAAGAAAGAAATCTGGTCTTATTTAATGAGCACACTTTATTTTTCTTTCAACATTATTTTGCAGTTTCTCTGTCTACCTTTCTTAAGAAACGTGGCTCCTGATAACTTTTGGCAAAGATTGCGTCACAGACAATAAGGGCTATTGCCAAGAGGGTCCTCGAATGTTTTAATCAAAAGACTAACCTCCCCGAGTGGTTAGTTTAGAGATTACAATATACATGTAGATACAAAAATCTCTGTCATGTTTTAAAAGACATATGTCTCACTGCTTCTCATTCTAGGGACAAAAATGTAAAATCTAGAAAACAAGCTCAAATTTTAAGCTTAATCGAAATTTCAAGGGGAAAAGAAGAATAAAATTTGATGCTAAACACTGAACACAGGAGGATAGAAAATACCTTCTTACCTGCACTTCAATTTGTAGGTCTTTGTCTAGCAGTGCTCTCTTCTTCAGTATTTCGGCTTTGAGCTGCTCTTTGTGCTTGAAGAGCAGTGCAGAGAGCTTGCTGGCATTCTGTTTGCTACGTTTCTGTTCCACGCTCTCCTCTCGCTTCCGTTTTTTTGCTGCCTGTTTTTCTTCTTTATCTATCTTATCCAAAATATACTTCATCACCTGGTTACAGACAATCATTCTAGAGAGAAATACACAATCTATGTAATACTGGGCATTTCCTTCTGAAAGGCTTAAGACAAAATTTTTCTATGTCTTTATAGTTGGTACAAACTTTCTGTGACTGGGAAGCTTCAGAGCGACTGGAACCAGTTATGAGCATCTATTAGTACTGAGTGTTCTCATTTAATAAACTTCAATCAAGATAAAAACAATACAAACTCAGAATTCCTGTGTGTGTGTGTGTGTGTGTGTGTGTGTGTGTGTGTGTGTGTGTGTGTGTGTGTGTGTGAGAGAGAGAAAGAGAAGAGACTGATAAACAGTGAGACCCAGTGTAATGGGTTATAAACATTTCTCCCTACCTTTGATTCTCTTCTCTTTCAGCTGGAGTCATGGTCTTTTTCTGTTTTAAATGTTCTATTACAGCATTATGCTTCATCACCACCTTCAGGACAGAACAAAATCCAAAAATGCATATTTTATAATGACTACAAGTTGGCACACAGGTAACAAGAGTAGAAATCTGAGCACATGTATATGTTTCCCAAAGAAACTAAGAATTTTATATCGTAATACTAATAAAATGAGAGCTACCGTGTGGCCCGGGTGCTTATCACGTACCCGGCACTGTGCCCAGGGAAGCAGCTGACATTACCTTGTTTATTCACTGTAAGAACACTGAAAGGTAGGGAAACTTTTATAAATGAGATAGTGAGACATAAAGAACTTACTAACTTGTTTGAGATTAAAGAATTAATACAGCTCTAATTTTAATCCAGCTATCATCCTCCAATAACCATGTTTTTAACATTATGCTCTCTGTCCCAGGCATTCATTTTAAAGATCACCCCACCCCCGCCCCATTGCCACCTTGTAGAGAGATTAGGGTAAAGACAGACATTGCAATAATTCTCAGTTCATGGACCATAGAGTGCTAAAAGCTGGATAATAATGCATTTTAACACATTACATACGACGTTAATTTTTAAAGAATATTACTATACATCTTCAAAATCCCTCTGCTGGGGCTTCCCTGGTGGCGCAGTGGTTGAGAGTCCGCCTGCCGATGCAGGGGACGTGGGTTCGTGCCCCGGTCCGGGAAGATCCCACATGCCGCGGAGCGGCTGGGCCCGTGAGCCATGGCCGCTGGGCCTGCGCGTCCGGAGCCTGTACTCCGCAACGGGAGAGGCCACAACAGTGTGAGGCCCGCGTACCGCAAAAAATAAAATAAAATAAAAAAAATTCCTCTGCCGCTTAAAACACTTCTAACAACATTACAATCATCAAAGTTGCTAAGAGACTAGATCTTAATTATTCCAACCACTAAAAGGAAATGAAAATTATGTGACATAATAGGGGAGTTAATTATTGCTACAATGGCAGTCGTATTACAAGATGTGAATGTATCAAATCAATAAGACATATACCTTAAATTAAATTTATACAATGTTACATGTCAAATATATTTCAATAAAAAATAAAATAAAAAGTGCTTCTACATACATGACCTCATTTAATCATTACAGTAACCCTGTGTGGCTGAAAGGGAGAGAGTTTTAATGAGGATATAGCTCAGGGGAGATCAGTGGGTTTCACAGACTGTAAACGGGAGACCCAGGAACTGGGTTCTCCTGACTTGGGAACACTTGAAACCCACACAAACTCCTGACTAGTGCGGAACGCTGCACATTCTCCCGCAATGCTATAGAGGATGTCACTATACATGTGGCTTCGTTTCAAGCAGAATAATTCTAACTCATCTAAATTGCCTTACTTCACTACAAAGCTACTGCACAATGCCACTTTTTATTTATGCCATGGAGTAATACTATTTAAAACTTTTTTTACGAAGGTGTGGCTGGAAACACAAATGAGTTTAATCTGTCTATAAAATTTGCTTAGTCTACGTGCAAACTAAGGAATGACAACTGCAAATAACTTCAAAGAAATTGCTATGATGCCTGAAGTGGCTTCAAAACTTAGTTAAACCTTCAGGGTTCATGTCAATGATACTTAAACTTCCTAAGTCC